CATTTTGATATTTTCTATATTATTCTCTATGATTTTCTTTGTTTCTGTCTTTATTAGCCATTTCTTGTTTTCTTTTTCCTTTCTTGCAAGTTTCCTTAGTATTTTCTTTGTCTTGAACTTGAATTTTCTGGCCAATTCTTGATCGTTTTCTTGTTTGCTTGACTTGTTTGTTTCTTTTTTACTTGTTTAAATTTTCTATACAATGTTTTTCTAATCTTTCCTCATGTTGTTCTTTTTGTAGTAGTAAACATTCTATCATAATATCTAGTGCATAGATCTCTGGTTTTGTAATATTTGGCAAAAGGGTCTCAATCTTGCTTTTCACAATATAGTTGTGACATCTATAATCTAACTCTTCTTCTATATTTTTGCTGTATTGTTTTTTATATTTTTGCTTATATTTTTCTAACTCCTCTTTGTCTACTTCTGCTAATGGATTCTTTAGTATACATCTTGCTGCTGCTAAAATTTGTTGTCCTTGTTTGTTTCCAAAAATTTCTTTTTCAGTTTGCTTCACATGATTTGGCTTCTTTATTGTTGTTATTTTCTTTGTTGTATTCATCACATGTTGCTTTACATATTTGTGTTGTTTTTTTTTGTTACATGTTGCATTGGGGATGTATGTCAACTAAGTAAATCAAAACTATATATAGTACCATATAAAAATTTTATAATTAATTTTTTTGTATAACATAAATGTAAATCTTTTTTTAATTTAGCGAATATTGTATTTTATGTAGAATATATTAATTAAAACAATTATATTAATAGTTTATTAAAAATATTCGAAGCAATTTCAGGCCCAAATTGTAATTATACTTCTTGAAGCAGCATTTTCTTCTTATTAAGATTTCTTTTTGCCCTTATTTCATTTAATTCATCTAAATAATTTTCTTTAAGGACTTTGCTTGAAGATAAACAAAGCTTAGATTGCTTTGTTGATATTGACATATTGGGATGTGTTTTTAGGTCTAATTTGTTAAAAAGACCTTTAAGTTTCTGTTGATTAATTATAATGAAGCAGATTCAGGTCTTGACAAAATCGTATAATTTAGAAAATTGATATATATATGAGTTATCATTAATGCAGAATTGTTCA